ATTATTACAAATCGCCAAGTACTTTTAAATTAATCCAATTGTTGGGTACCAACCGCATATCTACTTTAGTTGGTTTAGGGAAATATATTCATTATGCTCTAACATTACGCAACGAAGATCAATCAGGTTAACCTAATTTCTATCTGTGTAAGGTTTATATTTTCAGATGTCTGTACATTAAAACATCATTGCTACACATTGTATTATAACTTTGAATTATGTATTGTGCTGCTTATTGTATTGTACTTAATTTGTTCAATATATATTATTGTATACTATAAATGAGTGGAACTGTGGGACTGAGGAACACTTGACCAGGGGTTTCACCCCCCAGTTTAGGCTCACTGAGAGTCTTAAATTTTGTAATATATCTTATTATATGTTATTTTTTGTAAACTGATGGGCTGTATTGCCCAAAGTTATATCCTGAATAAACTATTTATTTATTTACTCGGCAGCAATTAGACTCAGTCTTCAAAAATTCTCTTTTATAACATAAACGATCATAACAATCATTCCAGTAATAAATAAATAAATCACACTTTAAATAAATAAATAAATAAATAAATAAATAAATAAATAAATATATATATATATATATATATATATATATATATATATATATATATATATATATATATAAATTCCTTTTTTTCCCTTTGCCATTGCCTATATATACCGCAAAGTCAATTATTGATATAATTTCTTCTATAAATAATATTTTTTTGACAATTAAAGTTTGACTGGCTGTCCATTTTCAAACTTTCTTCAAGTGTATATCAACTGAGGAAACGAGGGGAATACTTCACAAAAAAAAAAAAAAAAAAAAAAAAAAAAATTATGAATCTGTCAATTGGAAACAAAAGGACATCGTTATTCTGTGCACTTATAAAAAATTAATTATTGACAACATTAATCATTCAAGAACAAGGGTAAAATTTTATGATCAATTGTCTTGTATTTCAGACACTGACCACACTGGGACCCCCACGTGACTTCGGAGGGGACCACGAGCAATATCCCGTAGTGTGGAATAAAGTAAGTCCCCGTGTTTTATGTTCTATGTGTGGTCATTTCACCAATTGTATACTCAATACGTGTGTGTGTGTGTGATATGTGATTGAATGTGATTATCTATTACATGTGGTTTTTTTTTGTTTTTTTTTTTAATCTTTTCATGTGAAGCTCTAAGAAACAATTTTCTCCACTTTTGAAAACAAATTCGTATTGTATTTAATACATAAGACAAACCTTTATATTGAGTAATAATGTTGCAGCGCCTAATAAAAATAAAATTCATCGTGGTGTCCAATAGTCACATACTTCAGCAATAAGTTGAGTATAATTCAATAGGTTCATAATGTGGTAATATTCTCAATAGGTATTGCAGATCCAGTTTCCATTTCATTCCCCTCTCAACAAAGCGCGGAAAAGGTGTGCGCAATTTTCCGTTTCATTCCATCTATTATTAAATCAGTCACCCCCCTAAAATAGAGAAAATTATGACGAATGATTATTATAAAAAGTAGTTTTATCTCTGTTTTATTTAGCTCAATTTATCGAAAAAGAATCTGCCTTTTCCAAACCACAAGTCTCGTTGTTTGTATCGTGACTATGAATTTATCCGGATATTGAGTATTCATTACATTAAGTTTGGGAGAATATGATACGTACATGTCATACAGGAAGGATTTCGTAAAACAAACACCATTTTTCTGTAGCACTGTAAACCCCGACAGCTGTACATCGAAGGACACGTTCAACCCAAGCCACAGACCAGGAAATGTGAATTCGTCTCTAAATCTTTTTATCGTGATCTTTGTTCTCGCTGTCGTCATCAAGAGTTGTCTCGCTTTGCTTAATAATATTGCTGATGGTTGGGAGTTGATCAACTTTAAATTCTCTGTGTCATACGACACATCAGAGTACAAAGTAATAACTAAAACATAAAAACATTAAAATGGATAATAATATGAGAGTGAGCATATTAAATAAAAGGCAAGTGGATATAGATATATATATATATATATATATATATATATATATATATATATATATATATATATATATATATATATATATGCTTAGTGATAAGAAAAAAAATGAAATTATATAAAGATAAATAAATAAAACACATTTCCTGAGAAGAGTCTTGGACGTTGTTTCTATATTCTAATATATCTTTTTGAATAAAATTTCATCAGAAAATCGATCTAATTTGAGGATTGAACTGTTAGCATAAGTAAAAAGAAGATATTTATATTTTAATATTTCTCCAGCTTCAAGAAAAACTGCATAAGCTGATGAAGTTTATAGTTTGTATTCATTGTAGCATAATCTTCTTGCGATCACACATGCAGGCTTTTCTGTTACATGTAAATAATGATCCAGTTTTTATGTGTCTGTCACCTGTTTAATATATATATATATATATATATATATATATATATATATATATATATATATATATATATATATATATATATATATATATATATATATATATATATAATGATTTTTGTCTCTTGTAAAACTTAACAAAAACAATTTAATGAGAGAATTGAAATATTGCATTTCCATACAAGTATATTATTATAATTATTTCAATTAATAATTAAGTTTTGATTATAAGTTATATTATATGCATAAAAGATATAAAAAAAAAAATTTTTTTTGAGACATGAAGGAACTTTTGCAAGCAATAAAAGGTATCGCGAGACTTTTGAGGTACGAGACTTAAACATACCCCGACGTGTGTCAAATCCTGCGTGCCGTGTCTGATAGCGAAACCATTAGCGGATGAAGTACACACTTCAGGAGAATTAATTCCATCAATCGCTCTATAATCTATTCCCAAGGTACAAATTCTCCAAACTTTTACCCGCAAATTAATATCACTTTGATAGATGCGTGCAGTGCACTATGTTTTCCTGAGCGCGACAGATAGATGAAATGCAGAGGAAAAATTCTCAGTGACTAACAAAATGAAAATTAATGTGCAAATTTTAATCTTCTCTGAAGAAATATATGTGCAATGTCTTCACGTGCTTGAAATATGTTGGAAAACATTAAAATTTTGTATTAATGTCAATTACAAGTTTCTGACAAATGTATGAAATTTACTCTTGTGTGTACTAGTGAAACTGGCTCGTTTCATCACCTTGATGTTCCTTCGCTTTAAAATACGTGTTGTAACCACACCTCTTCATGAAATCGTAACAGAAATATCGACATAATTGGCTGAAATCGCAGCATTAAGGTAGTTTCTGTCTTCCGATTAAAGGTTCAATTGCTAGATTTTTGACTTCATTAACTCACGCACGACTTTTTTGTGTCGGTTGTGATGTGCACGTGCATGCACGATGAGGTCTTAATTATTACACACAATAGACGTTCATATAAATTGCTACCGTATCAAATTCGTCCTTGTTTGCAAACCCAGAACACGTGCAAGCAAAGTTTAGATTTGCAGTTGACGAGTAAACTAGACCACGTGATTTTGTACCGGAAGGAAATTGACAATTTGACTGACGTTAGATGACTAATTCAGAATTTCCTCTCACTTCCGATGATGAACTCAAATTGAAAATGAGAAAACAAATTAAGCAGATAACAGCAGCATTGTGGCTGTTGATTGGCCACAAAACAAATGGTTCACTTTCTCTTTGGACAAACTTCAATTCCATTTCAAAAGAGAAGTTCCTCCTCGTTTACAAGAAATAACATCAATAATTTCCACATTGTCTAACGTCATCTTAAGACATTATTTACTTGGTAATTAGATTTTTTTCTTGACATTACTTTTAGCAACGAGGGAGCAGGTGTTTCGTAAGCCGACCATCTTTTCCCCAAACAACATTTCTGTTAAAAAAAAAACAATCAATTTTTAGGGGAAAAAAGATTATATAATACTTTACTCCATATTTTCCCTTGAAATTTCTTGAAAGTGTTAACATTTCCAATTTAATCGTATATGTTGCTTGATTTTTTTTAATTCTTAATTTTTACACAAATTTCTAAGCAAAGGACGAGGGAGACTGAAAGGAAATCAGAATCCAATCACATCAACACAAACACATGTGAAATGCTTCATTTTTTATGAGCTTGTCTGCAAGAACTGGGGTAGAAATTAAAAATTTATACTGATCTGTTGAAATAGCGTTCATTGACCATTTCCTGCTTACAACCAGCAATATGTAATCGATCTTTACTACAAACAAATTTCCTTTGAATCGCTTTGAAATAAAACATATGCACTTAAAACAGGGTAGCGAGTGTTCCAAAAGTTTACTTAATGTTTATACAGCGTATGTACTTATAAAGAAAATTGATTTTCCAGTTAAGGAAGCTTTTAATAAAAGAAAGAAATAATCTTATTTAGTTTAAAGGATCAGAAATCAATTTTTAAATATTTTTCTTCATCGATCAAAATTAAGAATTAGGGCTATAAGAGAGAAGAATAAAAGGCAAACAAGGAAAAGAATACGGTTCCAGAAAAAAAAAACCCCAATAAAAACGGCAATGTAATATCATCAACGCTTCAAATAAAGAAAGGCAATAATAGGGGAGTTGACATTTAATGAAAATGTCGGGGACCATCTCTCCAATTTCAGTAGAGACGGTCTCGAGCGATGTCGTACTCCGCTTTTGTAATTTCTGGGGATATAAACCCTGTCCTGGCCTTCAGAGACCTCGACTCCCCTGGTGTGTTTTTCCTCCTCCATCAGATAACGGTCCATCCCCAATTCTAAAGCTGTCGTCCAGCTAATGAGAATAAATTATCCCCTGTCTAAAAGGCTGGAAAAATCCTCTGAAGATTCCTCGCCACCTTTGATAAAAAAAATTAAAACAAACCATTAATTTTCTAGAAACAATGTTAAAAGGATTCCTAAAGACAAAAACTTAGAAAAGTTAGCCGAGTAAAGGAAAAAAAAAAAGCTTTATGATTTTGAGATACCGAGGAAATGAAGTCGTTCGAATCGAAGATCAGCCCCCTGGCATTCGTAGAGTTTGTATCGGAGCGGAGTTTTATTGGCTACAGCAACTTTTATGTTAATGAAAAAGAATCATTTCTGGCTTAAAATATAATTTGTCCATAATAGTGGCCTTTTAAAGGGAGCATGCGCTTCTAGTTGATGAATTAGTAAACCCACGTGACTCAAAACAACAGAGAACAGGTGCCTCGTGAATGAAGCGCTCAATAGTAAAATGTAATATCAATTTTCTCTGCCATAGACATATCCCTCTCTCTCTCTCTCTCTCCGTCGACTTCAGGATCGTAAAAGTTATATTGGAGTAGCACAAATCCAGCCAGGCCGCTGGTCGGCCTATCCAGAATCCACGGAGTGCCAAACAATGATGAACACTAAGCAAGGAGTGGGATTATCCTCCCTAAATCCCGGTCATGTCACGGGAGGGAGGTATTCCCCACCCTACAGACCCCCCGACCGTATGCGCTGTGTGACGGGATCTACGGTACGTGTTAGTCCGACCTCTTGAATTAATCGCACGTTAATGGAGGCTCCTATCGTTTGACATGTTTCATATTTTATGAAGCTTGTGTTTTTATCTTGACATTCTTGTTGTATTGAGAACTAATTTACCTGAGTACGAGATATCAATAAAAGCTGGGACCAATGTGTTCCTGCTTAAACACCATCAATTATTTATCGCAGCCATTGATACTTATAAAGACATTACTTTAAAATCATTTCATTTGCTTGGGACTGATGTTATAAAAACAGAGAAAAGAGAAATCTTCCTTTTTAAAGGTATGTTTTTAATTTTTTTCTTTCAACATGTCTTACGGATGCATTTTTTTTTCCAGGGTAACTTTTTCGATGATGGCATTCTGTCGCGAGCAGAGGTTTTGGCGGCTGTGGACATTCCAAAACAGTCATCACAAAACTTAATGAAACATGATGGACTCTACGGCCACACAGCCGACTTAGGGGGACATAATGTCACCCCACCTCGACATCAAATGCAAATGAACTGTCACACGGGCTTTGGTCCCGGGGACTCGATGTTAGAACAGTTAACAACAAACCATGGGATGTCGCTTGGTGGAATGCCGGAGAACCACTACAGCATCGCCAATTCTATACCACACAGCCACCACCAAATGTTCCAGCCAAGCGTCTGCACCAATCTTAACGCAATGGGAGGCCACCACACATTTCCCGGACACCACCCTGTACACCACGCTATACACGACACGGAATGTGATCCGCGCGAATTGGAAGCATTTGCTGAAAGATTCAAACAACGCCGTATCAAATTAGGGGTCACACAAGCGGACGTAGGGTCTGCATTGGCTAATCTTAAACTTCCAGGCGTTGGATCTCTAAGTCAAAGCACAATTTGTAGATTTGAATCACTAACTCTTAGTCATAATAACATGATAGCACTGAAACCTATTCTTCAGGCTTGGTTGGAAGAAGCCGAACGACAGGCGAGAGAAAGAAAGGAAGCGGAAGCTGGTGGTCTAGCAGCTGAGCGGAAGCGAAAACGAACCTCGATAGCAGCTCCGGAAAAACGATCACTGGAAGCGTATTTTGCGGTGCAGCCTAGACCGTCTGGGGAAAAAATCGCCCAAATTGCAGAGAAATTGGACTTGAAGAAAAACGTTGTCAGAGTTTGGTTTTGTAATCAAAGGCAAAAGCAGAAGCGTATGAAATTTTCGGCCGTGGCCCCTCATTGAAACATTCTATGAATTTCAAAATTGACGCTTCATACGCATAAAAAACTACGGGCACTGGTTGCGTTTAAGTTTTGCAACTAATATTTTGCTGATAATGTCCACCGGTCTCCTCCTGGGATCACTTCTGGTCACGGTCAGTATAATGTGCTGAAACTTTAAAAAAGGTTATTCCGGGTACTGATATGAATTGTGTGAGTATGCTGGTCAATTTTATAATATTTTAATACCTATAAAATTTGATTTTTACTTGGTAATATGTTGCCTGAACAACAAGCAACACTAGGAGTGAAAATAAGGTATTTTGTCTCTGTGTGCTGAGAGTGTCACATTTTTATACAAATGTTTCGACGTATTGTTTATTACTTAAATTAATACACCTACTTAATAATTGAATATTTATTTTACGTTTTAATGATTATCGTAAATATTGTGTGATATGTTTTAGAAATGTTATTTATTTTTTAAATTTGTTATATTTATTTACTTCTTATTTATTACCTTTGATTCTGTCTCATTTATTGTCGAGAGAATTTAGAAAAATCAATTTTTTTTTTACTAATGGCGGAAACGTTAAAACATTGATTTCTTTTTCTTAAAAAAAAAAAATAGCGAATCGAACAAGTTTTAAGAGATGATTAACTATGTTCATTAGAAAGAATAGGTTATTCATAGAGAAATGAAAGCGGATGGAAACATTAAATTTTTGTTTTTCAATTAAATCTTAACCCTATATTTGAAAGAAAGTGTTTTGGATAATTTTAAATACAATCATTATGATTATTTTTTTTTATATAAAAAATCATATGATATTTGCTGAAAATTACACCGTTTTCTGATATGATGAAAGAAAACCTCGTATGTTCAAAAGAACTGGATTTTTGAAATGAAATTTTAAACCGTTAGTAAATTGAGATGAAGGTAAAATTGCCGTTAGTATAATGTCTTTGATGTCGGCATTAGAAGTCAAAGTCGACTTTCCAAGCTATAAAGCGAGTTTAATTCTGTTATTAAGTGACTAGAATCCCCTATTTCGCTAACACAAATGGAAACAATATCATTAAGAGCGGGGACATTAGGGGATTGTTGTATGTTTCATTGTCCAGAAGTACAACATGACACAACAGACGCCGTACCCCCGGGCGGGCACCTGTCTACAATCACACTGATCTCCTTCAATTCATTCTTATTTGTTTGTTTTTGTTATGACAATTGTTGGTGTACAAATGAAAACTAATTTCATTATCTGATTGTGTATTTCATTTGTAAAATAAAAATGAGAAACGAAAATTTTTTTTCTTCAATTAAAACTGCAGTAATGTTTACTTGTGGTCTTTAGAGCGGGGTAGTATTCCACATGGCTTATTCAGTTAAATTTCTTACATACACACAACTTCTAGTCTGAACTTCCCAGAATTAAACTTTTTATCAGAGTAGAACTTGATTACATTAATGTATACACTGAAATAACACACATTAATTTTGCTTTTTATTAATTATTGTTTCAAGTTTAGAATTTTTTTTTCTTCTTAATAATTGAAAAGAATAGATAACGGTTTAATTTAAAATAATGTATATACGCAAAGGATTAGAAACACGTTCTTAAAACATATATATTTGTTTACAAGAAATATACATTGATATACATCTGCTTTGACTTTTTTAATAAAGAGAATATTATTCTTTGACTTGTAATATCTTTTGAATAGAAAAAAATATAGGGAAAAATTAAAGAAAGTGTAAAATTATCTTTAAAATCATTATAAAAATTGCTTTTTGAAAAATTCCATTTGAATAATTTTTTTGGTTTAATTAAAAAAATTATTTGAAGAAGAATACAGCAACAATAAAAGCCAGAATGGAATATATGGAGATAAATTCAGATATTAACTACGTGATGTTTTGTATTCATTATATGGAACGCAGAACTATCAAGTTTCTGAACAAAGGGGCCAGGTCAATTTATTAAGTGAAAACATGTGGAAATTTTTAATGTGTTATGGACTTTGTAATGATTTTAAGCAGTTAATTCAAAATTAACAAAGAACTAAGTTTTAAGACCCTGTATCAATAAAATATGTTCAAACAACAAATCACAGACAATGTTACATATGCAGATACTGGAATTTTTAAATAATGAATGTAATTTTTGCCCAAAAAAGATGACTATGCGATCCACGGAATTTTTTAAAAAATCATTTTATGTTAATTTCAAAAAAGGAAATACGAGGATCAAACGAGGATCAGAAATGTCAATATTTGTACCGACTTTCCACAAAAGGTCTCCAAAACCCCCCCCCCCCCCCCCTGAAACATTCGTTTGAACGTGCCCTTAAAAAAAATTGTAAACTTTTGGAAACAGGGGATTGAACAAATCAGATTTGTCAGACAAAGACGTTTGATTGTTTTGTTTGTGTTGTATTTATACCATTCACACCAAAGATGAGAGTGTAAATAAACAATTACACAAATGTCAACAGGGCCAAGTTCAGAATCAATTCATAGTCTCAGAGCCATCGATTTCCATTCCTTCTCAGTGGGTGGGCGTGTCCTCATATAGTGACGTAAAGAAATAACAGATACATCGTACGAAAATTATAGCTTTCTTACACATTATATAATTTTAAGAAGGTCTAATTATTAAAAAGATTATCGGATATTTTTTAAAATTGTTAAAATATATTGTATTTTTACTCTCATTTGTAAATGGCATTTTTGTACATTATTTTGAAATAAAATTCATTTTATAATAAGTTAATATACAGATACAAGACGTTTAAAACTACATGTAATACTTCGTCAACATTTCGCTAAATCTTATCTATCTCTACATTAGTATCTAGTATTATAAGGTTGCCTTATGCAAATTAAAATAGATATAACAAATTATCGTTTCTTCATAGACCGCTACAAGGAAGAAAAGAATAATTAACTTTAGCCGTTCAAAATATATCTAATAATTAATGACGATGACTGACTTTTATTTTTCTTTCTTTTTTTTTAAGATGAAGTAAATTTGTTTTTCCCGGTAGTTTAATGCTATCATGAAATCAATAACATACAAGTATCGATTGTAATGACTAAAATGCGATTAAAAATATAGCTATAATACATCACTGCATACATAGATGACTTTTCTTCCCTTGTTACTTAATCTATTTCAAGTATGAAAAGTTGAAACAGACTGACAAATCCAATAAGCAAAGGCAAAAAAAAAAAAAAAAAAAAAAAAAGGACACCCTGGACACGGTGCTGAGGAGTGAGCGTCCCCTGTCGACAGGTCACACCCACAGAAAGCCCTTGTTTTGATCAAAAGCATCGGTTGTATAAAAGATTAGGTTGTTATATTCTAGTCTTTGCTCTTAAACCCTGCTGTAAGAATATGGCAGATCCCGTTTCCCTATAAATGCTTTAATATCTCTCCTTTTGGTATTAGACATGGATAAGAGCTGATCACTCTATAACAGGATTTTATTCCTTTTTAGTTGCTGAATTAACCGAGGATCTGTACAGCAGATAAGAAAGTTATAATAACACATTCTTTTTTTAACTGTTACAATTTAAATTACGTACATCATGCAAAACATGATGCCCTTTTCAAATTTTTATAAAATTTACTTTACTGGACGGATGTCAATAGATAGATAGATAAATAAATAAATAAACTTTCCCGTCAACAGGTTTCAGCTGGAAAAAAAATGATAGAGATTATTCATTTTTATTCTGCTTCTTGGACCGACTTTTCTTTTTCTTTTTTTTTTTCTAGAATGAACACTATAAATCTTTTGTAGACCTGCTGTATGTCACACATTTTAAAGCTGTTATGATGGGAAAATATATATGAATGGGTGCACTTCTGGAGTCATCGCAAACACCTGTTTATATAATTTCCAATGTTATTGATTTGATGGAGGAATTAAAAAAAGAAACCCAATGGTTTTGTTCATCTATGTAAATCGAATTGGAACATACACCGCCTGCAATATGGCGGCGGATAAGAAAAAATCGATTTCTTTTTGTTTGTTTGTTCGTTTGTTTTAAATAAGCACAAATACTGAAATCACAAATCACCTTTTCATATAACATATCGTGCTGAATTGCTTAACCGCTTAAAATTTTTGGTAGAGAAAAAAGAGATTGACTTGCGCTTACCATAACATTTTTATACATTTTACTTATTATAGAAATATGATCTTCCATTTCAGCAATTTAACCAGAGACCATTGAAAGCATTCATAAGAGATAAACTGTAAACACTTAAAACTGTTGATGTTCATTTGTGTTAGTCATTATTGTTTTCAGCATTTAAACATTTTTCTAACAAGATTATAATACCATAAACAAAACAATTCATAATTTTATATATATATATATATATATATATATATATATATATATATATATATATATATTCAAATAATATTAATCTCCAAATAGAAGATGATATTGGTCATCCTTGAATCGCTGTCTCTGTGATGAGACAATTAACATGCTGAGGTTTACAAGACAGGGAATAGACAAGAAGAAATCCTTATAACCGCAGTCCCTGTATGTTATTATACTGACGAAAATAAATCCGGGATTGTTCTGGCAGCGATACCCCAGGACGAATTGATTTATGAAAGAATTATCCACTAAAGGCGATAACACTTTATAAAATTAAACTTTTTCTTATTTCTCTGGAGCCTTAGATGCGTAATGTTACTGTTCAGAAAGCAAATTTAAATTTGTTGAAGCGACATATCTTGAATTGATGAATGAGAAACTTGAATATTCATCATATTCCATTTCTTACAAAATTAAGGATTACTTAAAAAATATCTATTTAAAATTTTAAAAAATTGATGTATCTTTGTTTCATATCATAATGATATAAATGTTTAAATTTCATTCTGATGTCAGTTTTGATAGTTAAAGGTGGAATCAAATATGTGCACGAAAACAAAATCAAGAATTTTTTTTTTGATTTTGATTCTTTATTATTTTGTGTGTGTGTGTGTTTTCAGGGGATGGATGGGTTCCAATAGTGTTAATTGTTTCTAAACCATGTAGAGATTTTGAATGATATTCTACACAAGCAAATATAAATGTCGACCAACAACCGAGGAACAATTTGAAACTTAAAGGAAACATTTTTGTGTGCTTTTAATGCTAATAGATTTCAACAATTTCTATGAATACTTTCAATTGTCATTAACACAGTTATAAAAATTAACAAATGAATTAGAAAAGAAGAAAAAATTTGAATTGTTGTCAGTCAGATAACGGAATTTCCTTTAGAAAGACATTCATGAATACATCAAAAGATGGCGATAAGGAACCTATTATCGCTGAACCGCAAAAACTTAGCAAATCGATTGAGTCCTGGCGATCTTGTTAAGTGGGTAGTGTGTGTCAACTATAAGATGATAGGCTTTGTAAAGTGCTCATTTCGTGTTTATCAGATAACAACAGACATATGGCGGATTGTCCAATATCTCATTTGTTCGCGCGCCGGGTGCGGGGCGGTCGCGTGCCAGGTTTCAATCGGGTAAGTTCACTGGAGCGTATCCGGTC